CCCCGGCAGGGCTGCCCCTCCATCGCACCCCGCACCCTCCTTCCCTCCCCGCTTCCTCTCCCTGCCCGGAGGAAGGGGACGCCTTTCCTCTCCCGAAGAAAACGCTTCTCCTGCCCGGAGCGGGGCTCTCCGCACCCCCTGAGCCCCCCTGAGCGCCCCACGCCACCCCCCACCTACCCGGTGATTTTGACCGAGTGGGTCCCGTGTCTCTGGTGCTTCGGCCCCTTCCCCTCGGCCACCGGCGTGTGCCGATAGATCCCACTCTTGTACATGAAGAAATCCTCGTGCACCTCCAGGATGGCTGCGGGCAGGGGGAGAGGGTCTGGGGACGCCGGCCGTGCCCTGGGGGACGGGGTGCCGAGCTCCCGGGGCTCCTCGTCCCCCGCAGCAGAGGATACGGGCACTGGGGACACAGGGCATCGCCCGGGAGGGGGAAGGTGGCAGCCAGACCCTCCCCCAAGCAATGTGACAAGACTCAGAGGAGGATTAAAAAAAAAAAATAAAGTAAAACAAAACCAACTGCTGAGACGGAGATTAAATCTCAGGAGTTAATGAGCAACGAGTGCCTGCTGGTGTGGGCAGCTTGATGGGCACCCCGGGGCTGGCGAGAGCACGGCGCTGCCCAGGCACGCGGCTAAACATTAAGCGGGGAGAGCGGCTGAGGTGGGGGGTCCTGGCTCCCACGCCGGCTCCCAGCCGGGCAGCTTCCCCCACCCACCTCGCCCCCCCCGGCCATTGCAGCACCCAGCTTCGGGGTACCTGGGTGGGGTGCCCACGCCTGCTCCCTACCTTGCACAGGGCCATTCTCCAGCAGCTCCTTCATGATCTCCTTCTCCTGCAAGCACAGAGCCTGGTGGTACTGGGGCTGGGACCCCCGGCACTGCCCTCCCCACCCGCCAGGGATGCAGGCAGAGGCCGTTTCGGCACCCACAGGTGGGTGCTGTGGGGATGCTGGCTGGAGGAGCAGCTCCCCTGGGTGCTCCATGGCGGGTTTTTCCCGGCTTCATTTCCAAACTTGACTTTCCCAGGCAAACCACCCCGAGCCAAGCCCCTTCCCGCTCCCCACACCAAATGGCTCCCGCTTCGCCCACGCTGGCGGCTTTGCCCAGCCCGCGGGCACTCACGCTGGAGGAGAGGCGGTAGGCGGGGGTGGACTGGTAGATCTCGTTGGCGTGGGTCTGGGGGTTGGGGCAGCGGGCCGTCGCCTGCCGCTTGCCCCTGCCCGTGGAGCGGCTGTGCATCATGCAGGGCTGTGCCGCTGGCTGGCTCTCCTGGCTGGTGAAGGGGTAGCACTCATCCGTCACCACCCTGGACAGAGGGACAAGGACATGAGGAGGGGAATGACCACCCGGCTCCATCCCCAAAGCCCCCTCCCCCAAACCCCCCCTCCCA